AGTGTTCAAAGGATTTTCCGGAAGAACCCTTCGCAATGCTTTCGGGAATTATGCCGGAGTTACGGGAAATTACGCCGGTGTTACGACGTGCATTTTTTAAAGCAAATCTCTGCAAAACATTGAGATTCTGAACAACACATGTTCCACAGCCCAAAACTTGTCCGGCAGGCTCTGCAAACTTGCGCAGCTAGAACTATGTCCCAGCGCCCCGACACCCTGAAACAATGGGAGTGCACTTTTGCCTATGCTCTTTCAGCTTAGGTACACCCACTTGGGTCTTTCAACGTGTGCATCGCACTGTATCGATTTCATCCGATTTCATTTAGAAGATCACCTAAACGGATCTGATTGATCCAGTGTGAGCCATGCTGAAACCGGTGGCCGGTGGAATGAGAAAACAGCGGTACAGGCAAACCAGCACGCTTTGCAAGCAAAATCATTGCATCAGTAGTGGGTTTACCTTCAAAGAAATGCGGACCACGAAGAATGCAAAGCCCTGAGAATCCACACAAAGTGACTTGGAAAAACTGCCGGACCAAATCCAGAAAAACGCCGGAGTTGGAAGTCCGGCGCCGGACCCTGTAAAAGTGCCGGACTGAAGATCTAGGTATATATATATATATATCAAGTGGCTGCTTTCAATCTCTGCAGCTAGTCTCCAACCCCATTGCAACATGGCTTCTGACAACCGTTCCAGGAAGCATGGAGCAACATCACCTTTCATGCTTCGTTCCAACCATCCAATTTCACGCATTGCGCTTTTGGCGCGCAACAATCCTGCCGCGTCGGCCATGACTTGACTGTCTGGCGTGTGCATTGTGCACATTTTGGACACCCAAGACCATAGTATAAGCTCCACCTCCCAACGTGCTTCCGCGAAGCATGGAGCAGCACTACCCCCACCCATGCTTCCGGAGCAGCCTGCAATCATGCTTGTGGTGCAACCATGTCCTCGTAACTAGCCGTCTCATTCCCCTCCCATCTTCCCTCCAGCCCCGTCCCCATCCATCGTCTCTTCCCTCCCCAGCCCCGTCCCCACCCATCCGCCTGCAGTCTCGGTCCCCTCCATCTTCTCTCCAGTTTCGTCCCCACCCATGCACCTCCCGTCTCGCTCCCCTCCATCTTCCCTCCTCAGCCCCGTCCCCACCCACGCGCCTCCCGTCTCGCTCCCTCCCCTCCATCTTCCCTCCCAGCCCCGTCTCCATCCATGCGCCTCCCGTCTCGCTCCCCTATATACATCTTCCCTCCGCAGCCCCGTCCCCACCTATGCGCCTGCACTCTCGCTCCCCTCCATCTTCGTCTATCTCCCCAGCCCCGTCCCCACCCATGCGCCTCCCGTCTCGCTCCCCTCCATCTTCCCTCCCCAGCCCTGTTCCTATGTTTGAGGGTTTTACTATGCCCCCTTTGTCCATCGACAGCGAAAGGAACGCTATGTACAAGCAAGTGCAATGCCGTCCCACTGGCATTGAGCAAGAGCCAGGCGAAGAACTGAGTGATGAGGACTTAGTCTTGAAAGCTTTTCGGCGGTATTCTTCGCCAGAGAAGGGTTCTGATGGCATGGACAATTCCATCGCGGCCACGACTGCCTTCACAAGACCCCTCCCTCAAAAACAATGGAACCCAGAATCTATCCCACTCGGATTTTAGCTGGGTTCTTGGCCCCAATCTTCTAACAACACCACACACACAAAAACAACAATACAATACCGTCACAACAAATACCCCGTGGAAACCAACATGGACCCTGAAAACCACTGGTTTGTAGAGAAAAACAGCCTTTTGCGGATCACATTCTCAGGGTCCATGCGCAACTCCTAAAAAAGAAGTCCCGCGCTTCTCACATCCCATCTCAACCGTGGCTGCTCGTGCTTGTGGTCCTCGGGCGCAGGGGCCTCGGCCTCGTCATTGAGGTGGTCCTCGCCATTGGTGGGTGTGGTCCGGATGATGGGTGAAGTTGTTGATGGAAAATGTAAGGGGTTCCCAACGCTTCTTAGGTTGAGGGCCCCCGCAGAACTACATCATCGAATCCATCAACATTACTGAAAAACATCCTGCAAAAGACATCCTGCAAAAAGAACACGAACGAAAAACAGCAACATGTTTCGCAACTGGCCCCTCGCCAGGGTAGTCTTTTGATGACAAGTTGATGTTAATGGATGTCCATCCCGTCTCGACACGTGGCCACAGGCAGCCAAGTTTAGATCGCTCTTCTGGTCTTTAGACGTAGAACATGAACGGCAACCCAAGCATCAAGTGGCATTATGAGCTTCTGCGAGCCCAGGCCGGCGGATCCGGAGCACATGTAAAGATTCAGCAGAGACTTCATGTCTTCTCTTCACGTCTTAAGCATACTAGAACAGTTCTGCACCGATGTCACAAGGACAGCAAGAACCGCCCGACCAAAAAAACTCGCCCAGTTGCCTTTTTCCTTGAGTTCTCTGACGTGCTGCAGGGCCTGAACTCTCTAAGCTTCGGCTGAGCGAAAAGTCATTTTATGGGCCGATTCGAGGAAAGAAAGCTGCAAGAAGTTGGGTGGAAGAAGACCGGTCGCGTCTCATGACTCTGTGCAAAACTTTATGATCTTCATCAATGTCTACCGCCTTCCTTGCTCCAGCCAAAGTGGGCCTGATGGAACAAGAATCATACTCAGTGTCTCTTGTTCAAGCAAAAAATGCAGTACTCCGTAAAGATAGATGTATATAAGTTATACGACGCTGACAAGCAAACTGTGCTACTAGAAGGCCCGATCGGTCTTGATCTTATTCTGTACACAGAAAGATGCCTTCCTACTCTTATTGACAAAAAATACCAATAGACCACCTTCATCCCGAATGCGCGTCAATGCTCCAACACGGTGCCGCTAAAATGAACTGCACTGGGTTCCCCGGCTCCAATCTCTTCCTGTGGGCCAAGCTCATTACACCCGTTGATCTGGTGGACATTCATGGAAGACACTCGTGCAATTTGACATTCTTGGCAGACACTCTTTCATGGAAAGCGCGTCGCAACAAAACACACCCAAAACATCCAATTCCGCTGACGGATACGCAAGGCACCCTTGTCAATCGAAGACACTCCGGGCTGCTGTGTGGCTCAACATTCAACCAGACATCTCAGCAAGAGGCGAGTGACAGCAAAGAGGAGGCCCAACCACACCATGTACCTAGTGGGCTAAATGGACTTCCAATGGTGCGGTAAACGTGGCAACTTGGCAAGCTGAGGATCCAAAACACAAGTTGAATCAGCCAACAATTGATAGGAACCACCAAGCTTCGTGTTTTTTAGTCGGATGGTTTGTTGTGGTCCACTTTCGGTGCGTATATCTATCGGTGTCATATGACATGTCCCACAACAGTACAGGTGTTTTCAGCATGGCTCACATGTCTTAGGCTGACCAAGCTTTCCTTTGATGGAGACCCCCTCTGCAAACTGCTGATTGCAGGCGAGAGATAACCTCAAATAGTTGTTGAGCTAAAACTTAAACCACTGCTTAGTTGGTCTTGGTGAGTCATGACGTGTCAGGACTAAGATGTTGCACGGTCTGGATACCTACTATGCTTCTTATGGTGAAAGATTTCAAGTTGCAGTGGTGAATATGCAAGGAGCTTCCGCACCACAGAGGCTTCCCCATGATCACAGGCGTTGACCACATTCTGACAAGGACTTGGATCGTTTCTTTTTTGAAACATGTTGAAACCAAGATTTGGTATATCATCCCAACATTGGTGGACTCCAAATTTGTGTTTCAAAACTTGATGTGGTTAAGGAACCAGGAAAACGTCCCCAGAAGTAAGGGGGTTCACCCATACAGGGAAAAAACAGAAACCAAAACAGGAAAACATCTCGTCGCCCGCGTCGCCTGCCGTCCTGGGAGCAGCGCCTGGCGTCTCCTCGCCGCAGGGGCACTCGGTGTGGATCGCAGCGACACACCGTTTCAATCAGAGAGGTCCCGGTCCGTGAAAGGCACGTCACCGAAAGCTCCAGGTGCCTGAAAGCTCCCTGATCTTGCGGAGGGCCGTGAGAGGTCGGTCGTGAGAGGCCAAAACCACAGACTCGTTCCGGTTCGGGTCCCGGCTACAATTGGAACAACTCATGACAGCTTGATGCTCAGGTAGTATATACACTCAGTATCACTCAGTCAAAGGGACCCATCTCTCCAAGATCTGATTCCGATTCCGCACCAACCAACACGATGGCCCAAAAAGTGCCGTGTGCCTGCCGGGATGAATGGCATGGCCTGGCAGCGACCCGCAGTTCTGCTGATACAGCAACTTGTGGTTGATGCAAACCCACGATTCAATCATTCACCCTAATCATTCAGCCCAACTGTTGATTGCCACTTCTTCTGTTTTCCGGTGTGTCTCCGAATCAAGGATGCCAGCAATAAAAGAGGACATGTTTATTGCTTGGCAGGGTTTTAATGTTGGATACTATGAGTGCCGGGCCTGTGTCCGCAACAATGGCAGTGTGCATACTATTTGCAACGAATATAACTACAATACCAGAGCTATCAAAATTACAATATATCATAATTAAACCATAATTAACCTATGTTCATAGGCCCCGCTCGTATAGCTGCAGTACGCTGCAGTCGCAGGATCACAAACATCAAAACGAACAAAATAGGAGCACAAAAGCCAACGACATCCTAAGTTGGGGATCAATCATTGATACTAAACCGTATGTACATATAGACCAGTTTTTTTGTGTGCCATCTGAAGTACCTAGTCATTGGTAGGCGAGGCAGGCCCGTGGGCACGACCGTGTTCATGTTGTCTCTGTGAGCATGTCACGATGGGAGTCACGGTCGTTGACTTGGGTGATATGCCATCGATCCTGGGGGTCGAAAGTGGTCGTTGATGTTCAATGTGATTGTACCCTCTGGACAGTCCTCAACAAACCTGGGGTTGACAAACGATATCATGAACAAATTTCAACATGATACACTCGAAACATTTTGAAGCACTTGGAAGATCACAAAAGTGCAAACAGTTACCCTGCCCAAAATGTATCTCATGATCTCAACCGGATAGTTTTTCCATGGTCGATGGTCCTTGCACTTCTTGCTAGCTAAACCAACTCGCGAACCCATCTGCATCCTCTGATCCATTGTAAAAACACTTGACCCACTTCGAGCCACAAGATATCTATTGGAAGGAGTCTCATCATCGGCATACCAACAGCACACTAACCAGTAGCCACTTAGTTGTGCCTTAGTCTGCCTCAACATCTAAACATTCTTTGCTCTTTCTCTTGGATGAGTGTTGGCTACAAAGTCCGGCCTGTCTATACTGTAAACTTACAGCTCATCCCCCTCCAGAATCTCTGGCCAAGTAGTTGCAAGCAAAACCTGTAAGAGTGGATACGCACGTTCCTGCCTTCAAACCATGGTATCTAAATTACCCGTTCGCGCATGCCAGCTGCATGGATAACACCGAGCCATCACCGAGCCGCCTGTGGGCTCTTGCACCTGGCCACCAGCGGTGTCGGTGCCAGGGCCCGGAAAGGACCACTGCGAGAAAGAGGGCCAGGACACCAAGGTCTGACATTGCAAAGATCTGTGAGCAGTGCTGACTTCTGAATATTATTGCATACTGTCAATATGTTCTATTGAAATTGAGGGCTCTTGCACCTCCGTGTTGTGAGTATCTTCGTCTTCGCAGCACAACTCCCAAAATGGGGCCAAACATGATCTCTACAATTCAACATGGTGTGTATCAGGTAGGTTGACTTCTTTGATTATATAGCATGTACCCAATGATTGGTGTAAAACTTGGTCCTTCGACGTCGCTTGGGTCAGATTTGAACTGGTTCGTTGAGTGCAACAGTGCTCCAAAAAATCTTTTCAGCGGGGCTTGCGATGAGTGGTTGGGAAAGGGGATTCAGCCTGTATATGTTGACAATGGCTTTCCCCATAGACCCCAATGTGCAGCGACATCAAATCTGAAAACCCACTGGTGGAATACCATGATGCGTAGGCCACAGTTGATATGAACATCGGTAGCATGAACTGACGCGCACCTTGCTTTTGCATTCCAATCGTACCAAGGTCACTACGGTTGACGGGCGCAGGATCTCTTCAGAATCAAGCATTAAACTTCCCCGTGTCCATCTATCCCTTTAAACCCAATACACCCGAAACAACGGATGTTGAAATACAACCATGTACCACTACTCCCCACGTGTCCATGATGCTGAAACCAAAGATGCCCAAAGCGCAAGGAGGCTCCCCCCGTCAACCAGTGAATTCGTGCATGCATCCATCTGTCGTTAACCAATTCCCAGTGGATCCACTACTGTAACAGCTGTAGGCAAAAACAATTAGATGAAACCTTTGAAGATCACCCGACCCTAGAATGTTCGAAGCCGAATCCACTGCCCTCCATGGCGTGCTCACTCATTGGCACGAGCTGAGACTCACATACACTTATATCAAAAAAGGTTACATGCCCGTCATCCGTGGTATGTGTGCCTAAATTGACCCGCAGTCCCATGGAGTGTCAAGGATGGGGAGACAGCTGCAATCGGTTTTCGTCTCACTGTGCTCCACGTGTCAATGTTGGGGCAAATGCTCAGGCTTTCAGTGATTGATCTACTCGGAAAGCACACCAAAAGCATCGAAGTCGACCCGTGCTTGGTCGTTGTTTTCGGGGAGACAAAATCCACAATGACAAAAAACTAACCAAGAGTCGAACCAACCACGATTTGGTCTTATGGTTCTTGTCTCCCTTTGACTTTGGATGTCAACATAACTAGGGGAGCAAAGCAGCTTCTTTTCACATTGTATTGGTGAACTCAAACGTGACCTGCCCAGGCATTTCCAACCCACCATAGGGGAACTTTACCCGCAACATCTTGGAACAAGAACACCAAAAAAGATTCGAAGCGGGTGCCCAACTGGCCCAAACTAGTGGACACATCCCAGACCTGCTCGATGTGGGGATGGTGTGTTTTTTGGCAAAGCGATCGATGACTCTTGATTCTTGATGCTGGCGGTCGACGGGGTGCCTTCACCAATCCAGGGTGCGTTAGCACTCGCCTGTCGGACACGGCCGTGTGGTTCCTCTGTTCTCAGGCACGTTTGCTTTCCACCGACCCAACAATGTATTTTCAGAACCTTACAATTATGTAATCCCTATCATTGAGCCTTTGCACATGTGGGTCTTTGTGTGCGTGATCTTGGGGATTTACATTCTTGGGTGCCGGTGGATCAGCGTATGACATGACATGTGATCATTGTTGATCATTGATGTTCTGAAGTGCCATGTGATGAAGTGCCACACACTTACAACCGTGAAATGCTATCCTCCCTGCATCTGATACAGCAAGCCCCCAAACACATTGGGTCGAATTTTCCTCTGTTGTAACAATGCCTTGGACACCCCCACTCTCTTGAACATGTGTGTGCAGTTTCAGGTGTTTTTCGAAAAAAAAAACAACTTTCTGACGTCACACTGCAGAGTGCATCCATGTTGAGTGTGTGTGTGCCCCTTGTAGTCACAGGGATCCGTTTGGATTGTACTTTTGACTCCGTTCTCAGTTTTCATTTTTTGAGGAGGGGGGTGCAGAGCACAGTGGAAACTGCACCCAACGAAGCTATCCACTTGTGCTGGAAGCAGAGCCTGATCAGCCCTGTGTACCTGCTTGATTTTTAACATTTGCCGAGAGTTGTGCAGATGTGCACGCACGCCGTCATCTTGTCGATCCGAACTCGTCGATTTGGTGCTTGCGCTTTGGGCCTCACTTCCGTTTGAAGACCCCCAGCCTCAGGTAGGTTTTACCTGTACTCTTAGGAAATGGCAACCTAGGGCGGCGCGTGGCACCGCATTCACATCAGTACGCATTTCTATAAGTGTGTCTCTCCTGGTGAGAGCCCGGGATGAGCCCACAGAGTGCCTCCCGTGGACCCGTCGAACGGGGGTAGGTCGAACGCATCCCCTGCCCGGATGCAAAGCAGCTCGCAGCGAGAGTAGGTGGCCTAGGCCGAAAGAACTCAGATTTTTGTCCAAATTGGGAATTCCAAGCTGGCTCATGCCTTTACGTGACCGCAGCGGTCAAAGGTGGCAGCCCTTGGGCAAGCCGTACGTGGTCGCAGCGAACAAAGCTTGTTCAAGGTTCATTGGAACCTGTCGGACTCTCAGGTGCACATACATCGTACACACTTTAACGAGGCAGGTCTTCCTAGGTCGTCGTAATGAGGTCTGGCTTCATCGGTTCCCGTCCCCTCCATTTGGTTCCCTCTTCACCCTTTCCCCTTCACACACTTCTTTTCCTCTTTCTTTTCATGTCTTCCCTTGCTTCATGTCCTTTCATCTCACTGCTTTCGTTCTTTGGCGCGTACAACGGTCCGGGCCTTAGTGTGTACGCGCCCCCATCTACTTTTAATTCAGGTGTTAGGTCGCCCAGGTCTCGACAATGAGGTGGGTTTCATCGGTTGTCCCTGTGCACTTGGTTTCTCTTTCATCGCAACCACACACACACTTTTGTCCCGTCTCGTCTTCCTTCTCATGTCTTCATCCTTTTGTCTTTGCTGCGCGCACATTTGCACATTCGTCCTAGCCGTAATTTTTTTTGCCTCCCCTTGGGGAGGCGTGTGTGTGTGTGCCCCTTGTAGTCACAGGGATCCGTTTGGATTGTACTTTTGACTCCGTTCTCAGTTTTCATTTTTTGAGCAGGGGGGTGCAGAGCACAGTGGAAACTGCACCCAACAAAGCTATCCACTTGTGCTGGAAGCAGAGCCCGATCAGCTCTGTGTACCTGCTTGATTTTTAACATTTGCCGAGAGTTGTGCAGATGTGCACGCACGCCGTCATCTTGTCGATCCGAACTCGTCGATTTGGTGCTTGCGCTTTGGGCCTCACTTCCGTTTGAAGACCCCCAGCCTCAGGTAGGTTTTACCTGTACTCTTAGGAATGGCAACCTAGGGCGGCGCGTGGCACCGCATTCACATCAGTACGCATTTCTATAAGTGTGTGCGCGCGCGCGCGTTGAGAGAACATGCTCCTGGACTTCTTGTGCAAAATAGCTCCTTGTGATGAAAGCTCGACTCTACAGGATCCAATCATCCAGTCCCAGTCATCCGATTCCTCTTTCGACTTTCCATTCGTCCATCCTCCGTTTTGATACGCTTGGACGCAGGACTGCTGCGTTCCTCCATGATTGACCGGGTTTCATGGGATCGGAAAGCATCAACCCAGGTCCTGACCAGAACATCCAAAGCACAAAAAAGAATGATATCATGATGTATTAAATGTATCTGCATAGGCAGTGTGGGATTTGTGGGGCATATTTGTGTTTTTGTGCTTTCCTTCTCCAGGGTAGTACTGTCTAATCAAGTTATTCCAGCCACCAACCCCAACACTCTTGGATCGTACAGAAACCATCGGGATACCCGCATCGGTGGACGAGAAGTTCGGCGCATGATCAACAACACCTTGGAATTCTTGAAAATGGCTCCAGTCTCTTCGTAGTTTCTGGCTTATGACCCAGGTTTAGAGGGGCCGCGGATTGCCCTATCTAGAAAGGCTGCAAGTCTGGCTTCCCAATCCCATGATCTGCCTTGATGTGTAGATCTTCCCGTCTGCTTCCAGATCTAGCTTTTCCTGAGCATTACTGGACAGGCTCGGCGCCTGGTTCAACAAAAACAAACATCGCGGAGAGAAAGGCACAGATCTCAAAGCAGGATCTGCAGAACCTTCTTCAGGGGTGACTGCAAGTGAAGATCATATCACTCTACACTTGGGCACCCGGCCTGACATTCGAGCCATAAGGGGGGTACATACGGACTCGCCCAGGTCAACCTGAAAACCAGGCCATGCCAAGAGAAACCACGTGAGTATGTTTTATATCCCTGCATTTTATCGGTGGCGCATGATAAATTTTGGTCTACGTTCCCTGCTACCAGGCACTTGTAGGGCTAAAACTCAGTTCGAACAAACACCTAATGAACCTGCCAAAGTTATTTGGTCAAATTAAAACGGATAAGATTCTAGTTTTCCCATGTCCACCCTCAATCAGAAATAGTATCTGTGTTGAAACGAACCAAATAACTTCATGCTTCATCCAGTTTCCAAATATGTAGAGCCTCTCTGTCATGGCCAACCCCTAAAGACTTTGGTTCGCATGTGAATCAACTGAACGTAAAATATTAAAACATGTGCCAAAACGCTATAAAGATCAGTGAATCCTTTAAAGAGGTAGAACATTTCTTGCGGTGTACTGTACCACAAAAGAACAAGTATCTATCTATTACATATCTATTACATATAAAAGCATTGAATTGGCCTCTTCTCAAAAAAAACAAAACAGCAGTCGACCCTGGGTTAGCCTTGACAGTAAAGAGCTTTGCTTCATTCAGTCAAAAGAAATCTCTGTTCCAGCTTTCAAAAGCGCAATCAAGTCAGCAGGCACTGATACGAGATGGCACCAGTGACATAACTTCTGTTTGGTGAGGAATTTGTTGCAGGTACTCCGATATACAATTCTCATGTCGTGTAGGTCGGTCTGTTTGGTGAATAATTCGAAGGGCCCCGGCCATGTCTCTCAAAAATACAGAGCTAATGACAAATGGCCTAAGGCACTCCGAGGTTGATGTTTTGGAATATTTCTGGCAATATTTGCACTTGCAGTTGCTACATTCGGTCATGAAACATTGCCAAAGTACCCTTTTTATCCTTTTCCCCCTTGCACCTGTTGGACGTCACTCACCGTGGGTGCTGTTGGGCACCCGTCCACAACGGAGAAGCTGTTGGATGTTCACCCGGCCATCCAGCGAAGAAAGAATCCCGCTCGGTTTCTGGACCAAGCCTGCTCCGTTCTCATGTTCTACCGTTCTTCCACGGGTCGCGCTGTGTTTGATCCAGGTTTACCAGGCCATATATCAGGTCTAAAGGAATCCCACAAAAAGCACACTATAAATTCCTTGAAACTGAAACTACGATGTGAACTCCTGAGCCATGTGTGACGAATTTCTGGGAGTGCAGAGTTGCCAATCAGCCACAGCTTCCTTGAATACCATCTCAAGAAAAGAGAACTCACAAAAGCATACAATAGCTGTTTCTCCCCAACTAAGCAGCAAGTCGTCTGGGCTTTCACACGGTGAGCCGCGCGTCCCGTTTTGCCTTGGCGAGCACAACTGTCACAAGCGTCGGTTTAAGAGCACGAGCACCAACCTACTGTGCTCATCTCAAGTCCTCAACCTCAAAGCAAAGCCCCTTCTTTGGCAAGGGGGGCTCTACCTTTTCAAACGCAGGACACAGGTGTGTAGAAGTATATAACGTATTATAGTTCGGTGTTCCTTAGCTGAGCTTTAGCTAGTTTCATGAAAAGAGACAGATTATGTAGGTATAGTAAGCCAAGAAAACTGAGTCACGAGCCAATCAAGGGACCACTGGAGGTTGGTGGGCTGACCATTGTGGGACCAAATGCAGTTGACCAGTCGCTGACCACATGGCCGTGACCAAATGGGTGAACTGACCATCCCTTCTCAACGGGCTCAACCGCGTCACAAGTCAAAGCTCCTGGTAGACGCATGTCCGTGATGGTCGACCCATGATGGCTTGGGTCTACCAACCGTTTTCGGTGATGAGTTTTCGGCGTTCTCGGTTTTGAGACGGTCAATCGTTGAACGAGAGTTTGGACTTTAAACACGTGACGTGACAGATTCATGGTGCCTCAGGGTGAAAATTCATGTAGCGAGGTGCCGACACTCGACCCGAATCCTTTGCACGCGTGGAAAAAGTGGGATGCAACTATATTCGGAAAGCACTGGCTACGTGTTCCAGCATATTCCAGGATGACAAGGATCTTGGACAGTGTTAGATCCAGCAAGATCTTGATGAATGATGTGAACCCTTGTAAGAACGTGGCGCCACATCCGACCACGCCCAATGCAGAAAGGTAATGAACCATCCAAACACTGCTACCATGTCAAAGTTAGTTTTATCATTCACCTTGAAATTTGGACTTGCAAACAAAGAGCAGGTCCTGTGAAAGCCAGGGTGTTTGGTCCTTTTGTTTGTTGAAGTCCTTGATAATTGTTTTCCATCCCAAAGCCGCAGGCGTTCTGTGATTCTGCGTGTTGGGCAGCCCGGCACTGAGAATTGTCGGCTCACATTCTTGAAATCCTCAAGGAGTTCTACGCGTTCAACGGAACTGGGAGATCTGGGAGATGCATCTGACAGGTTGCAAAGAACATGGTCGCTCTCTTCGCGAGCTCGGAGTCCGTTGGTGTTCCGTGGTATTCTGTATTCCAGTGGTTGATCTTCTGGGTGTTGAGTGTGCTGACCATTCCCACTTAGGATACCCGGTGTGAACTTCC